GTGTGGGCGTGTGTGTGCGTGTGAGTGTGTGAGTGAGTGTGAGTGCGTGTGTGTGTGGGTGTGTGTGTGTGTGTGTGTGTGTGAGTGCGTGAGTGTGCGTGTGTGTGTGAGTGAGTGTGAGTGCTGAGTGTGCGTGTGTGTGTGCGTGTGTGTGCGTATGAGTGTGTGTGTGTGTGTGAGTGTCTGCGTGTGCGTGTGTGTGCGTGTGGAAACAAATATCCTCACCGTGTTATTAACGACGATCAACGGTTCGTCTGGCTGTTCATCCATAAATTCAGCTCAGTACCGCGTCCTAACTTTGTGGGCTGTTTTGTTCTTTGGCAGCGGCGAGAGTTTCTCATCATCTTCAGACGGAGAAAGTCAACAGGACGTCCGGCGTTCACTTTCTTCAGATGTATTTCTACTTCCTCCACAGTCTGAGAAATGAGCAAAGGTCTGATTTCAGCTGTTTAATATGCAATAACTCCATCGGCTCTGAGGGTCAGAGGAGGCAGATGCTCATGAATAAAGAGAGAATTAAAGATGCGTGAACTTATTAATTACAAGTTTGAAATCCTTTCCTGCTTTACAAGGTTATGGTGTGTTTGAGTTTTCTGCTCGGACAGACCTGTCACCCTGAGATGTGTTTGTCCTCCAGGTGGCCGAACACACATACACACACACACACACACACACACACACGTTTCCTCTGGATGTGATGTGTAACTTGTGCCACTGCAGCTGAAAGTGTTGTGAAACCTCTAGCCCTCATCAGTTCTGTGACCTTTGCCCTTTTGCTCTTTTCTTTCGGATCCGCATGCGTCTGAGAGCACAAACCAGCAGCTGCGAGACGCTCGATGAACCTGGCCTGAATAATGACACTCTTATCTCCTGCAGTTCTTAAATTGAACTAGTTTCATGGCTGATGACGTTTGCAACACGATATTTTCCTGTTTATTACTGTGAAGCTGCTTTGAAACAATCTGTATTGTATGAAGCGCTATAGAAAGTTGTGTAACTTGACTTGACAATGAATTGACCTCATAAAACAGTGCTTAATATAAAATTATTTATAAAAAATTATTTTTATTTATATTTATTTATTGAACTTATTTTATTTTTTTATATTTATTGAATAAATTTTTTATTAAATGTATTATTTATTAATTTACAAATGAATGAATGAATGTGTTTTATTGTTCTTCATTGGGTCTTAATTGTCCTTCCTACACTGAAATAAATATACCGGTAGTATAGAAACAACTTTTAATCAGAAATTGCTAATAAATATCACAAACGTTTAAGAAAAGGCAAGCAACACACTGAATTAAACATGATATTAAACCTGTAAAAAAAACTAAAATAATGTTTAAAAGCAAAACATCTCGGCGGAAAAAGAAGCCTATTTTAAGACCATTATTTAAAGTTTAGTTAGTGTTTCAGCTCAGCATCATGCTTGCGATACCCAGCTTCTGGTTCTTGTTTTTGTTCTCTTTCTCGTATGTTAGTATTAAATATAGTTTATCTCAGCAGCATCTGTGAACATTTGCAGTATTCTGTAAGCAACATTTCACACTCAGCCCGACTGGAAGTTATGGTTTTATTCATTTCTATTTATGTATTTATTTGCTTAATTTCTACATTTATTTTTGATTTATTGATATGAGTTTATTCATGAGTGTGTGGATGTCTGTACTAAGGGTTTTCCACAGGACTCACTGGCACTGGATCCGGTCTGAAACACGGCAAACCCGGACTCTATATCAGCACTTCACCAAACCTGGATCACTTTAAAAAGTTGATTAAGACGCATCTTTCAAGGTTGTTTTTAATTTATTCTTGTATTTTTTGTGTTTTAGTTTTACTGTAGCGCTTTGGGTTTAAGAAAAGTGCATTGCAAATAAAATGCATTATTGTTATACTAAAATAGCAGTTTTTTTCCCCAAAATATTTAGTTGAATTACAACCTTTTGACTATTTGCAGTTTTTCTGGAGTCCTAGAAGTGAATGTGATGACTGCCACCCTGTGACTGATCTGAGAACAGCAGGAAAACACCTCATATGATGAAGTTATCAGTGCTTGACATGCAGGAACTCACACACCCTCCTTTTTATATATATATATATATATATATATATAT